AGTGGTATATGACAAACTACACCTAAAACTAAAATCTTATGGTATCTCTGGACACCTGCATAACTGGATAGAAGCTTTCCTGTCAAACAGACAACAAATGGTCAAAATTGGGAGCGTCCTATCAAATCCTGTACCTGTCAACAGTGGTGTCCCCCAAGACAGTGTTTTAGGACCAAGTCTCTTCATACTCTACATAAATGACCTCTGTTATCATATCAAGAACAACTGCATTCTCTTTGCTGATGAGGTAAAGCTATTCAACACCACAGACAATGCTACTACCCTCCAAAAAGACCTTGACTATGTATCAGAATGGTCAATCAAATGGCAACTTCAAATTGCAACAAATAAATGTTGTTGAAATAAATACATATTGGCAGAAAAAAAAAATCCGAAAATAAAATACAAGCTAAATAGTCAAGACTTTGTTGAGGATCCAATTTCGTCAAGGAGCTTGGAGTATTCATCTCAAATGATCTAAGTGCTAGAGCCCACTGTAACTACATGGCCAAAAAGGCATTAAGAGTTGTTAATCTAATCCTACGTAACTTCTTCTCTGGTAATACCACACTACTAACTAGAGCATACAAAACATTTGCTAGACCTATACTTGAATACAGCTCATCAGTCTGGAACCCATATCATGTATCCGATATTAACACAATTGAAAAAGTCCAGAAATATTTCATAAGAAGAGTTCTCCGCTCCTCTACTCATTGCAGAATACCTTATGCCACCAGACTTGAAACTCTAGACCTAGAAAACCTAGAGCTACGCCACCTCCGGTCCGATCTAAATATAGTATATAAAATCATACATTGCAATGTCCTACCTGCAAATGAATACTTCAGCTTCAATCATAACAATACAAGAGTACACAATAGATACAAATTCAAGGTTAACTGCACCAAACTTGACTGCAGAAAATACGACTTCAGCAACAGAGCGGTCAGTGTTTGGAATACTCTACCTGACCCTGTGGTTTCTTCCCCAAACGCCCAAAACTTTAACCTTAGACTGTCTACTATTGACCTCACCCCCTTCCTAAGAGGCCTGCATAAGCACACCAATCATGCCTACCGTCCCTGTCCTATTGTTTTTTTATTTTTCTTATAAGTATCTATCTCGTATTCAAAACTATATTTATTCTTATACCTGTATCTTGTAAGCGACTGACAAATCAAATAAAATGTAAAGGTAAAAAAAATGTAAATGTAAATAATAAGCACTTGAGAGATTTTCCTCTCTGATCCCCCAATTGTAGGATATTCCTGGAATTCTAAGGTGTTTAGATCTAATTAATTTTATCCTTCAGTGATTGTTCTCTATTACCAACAATGCAGTAGTCATTTGCACACTTGTATAACATCTCAAGACTGGACAAATCATACTAAACCTTACTTATACAATAATGTTGGTAAAGTCTCTTGGGTGCCTAGAAAAGACTATGACAGCTGGGATTATAGAGCAAAACAGGAAGAACAATAGATAAACACTGTCAGCTGGGTATTCTTGGCTTGGTTTGCAGTAGACAGCAGCTTGTAACAAAGCATGAGAGGCAGAAGTTCAAAATCTTCTGACACAACTTTGCAATCAAAGAAAGACTTGCTAGACTGCTTCAATTTGCATTTATGAAATCACACAGTCAGCAGTGAGATTACTTGGAGTGCAAGAGAAAGACCAAGATACAGGGTAGCAAGCAGCAGCTACACTAAGGGGAAAGCAGTTGTAGTGACTTAGAAATGATTACAGTTCCATTTCCTGTCAACCATCATCCAGGGATGGCTGGACAAAGACCATCCTGCTCTCTTGGATATTTTTTCACTCTCAGGCTCCTGCAAAAGGATTCATTGCATCCCTAACGAAAGTACATGTGGAATCCATAATCACTTACATAGTTGCCACTGGCACAAAAAAGAGCCAGATCTCCAACTAAAGCCAGTACTTGGAAATGAACCCAATGAACTCAATAGGGCATATTATAAGTTACTATACTTAAGATTTGAAGGTTTGATTATTTTTGTCATGTTTAGACATGTGAGCACCTACAACACATCTTTAGCTGTATGTTCTCTAGATATCAACCAACGAGCAGCATAGAGACATTTTACCAATGTACCAGAAACTCCCCATTTAGCAATTATAATCAGGATAAGAAATTTGGCCACTAAGTGAAGCAATTGCTAACTAAAACTACAACTATGCTTGTAAATCTTACTTGAGCTTTGATTTACCTTACAGACCTGCAAAGGTCATAACTGAGAAGATAGTCGCAAAAGTACTTTTTCTTCAGTGATGTACCTGCAAATGGTCACTGTAAAAGGAACTAAACAAAATAGCCTCACCCTCTATCCCCACTCCAATAATAACACTCTGGAATGAAGTAAAAATAGTTCATAGTCTTATCAAGATGAACACTTCTTTTCAACCATTCTATTTATGGCTAAATCCTGTTATGTTGTACCCATTATTATATAGATACTCTGAAAAGAAAATAAGGCAAATTATTCTCCTGGGCTTTTTTATTGTTAATCATATCATTTTATGATTCTGATGGAAAAAAAAAAATCTACAATGACAGAACAGAGGCCGTGTTGAACTTAAAAAATAAAAATAAAAGGGGAAATCCATTTATAATAAATGTGAAAGCATGGATAATTGCAACTGAATACCCAAGATACTTTACTGTGAATTTAACTAAGAGAACAAAAGGAAATACACTGTGATCTTAGAAACACCCATAAACCTACTCATCTGTCTTTCAAGGCAGTGCAAAATGTAATGGGAAACACAGGTTCGGATCTTTAGGAAAAGCTATTTTTTGTCTTTGGAGTAATCCATCCAGTACTGCATCAAAAAGTTTTGTCTGATATATACAAAGCATAACATATAGAGTGCTATTTAACTGGTACTCGGTGAAATGTGTGAGTGCAATTGACACTTGTGTAAGCTCTTTTTCTCCTAAATGAATAGCATTCCATTCACTCAGTGTAGTGAAAATCGCATGCATAACATTAGTTAAATTGTTCAGTTGCCTATAAGAACCTTGAAGGAAAATTTACCTGTCCTTTAAAGGATTTTTTTTAAAAAACCCTCAGTTTGAGTAGAACTTGCTGCTTCATTTCTTAGGCTCATTTTAGATATAGCAATGCAATGAACCCACTAATCTCCTAAGAAATCATGCTCCATTAGCGATGATTTCCCTTTCCCCCCACCAAAAAAAAAAAAAGACATTGAAAGCAGTTCACCAATGAGCAGGGCATACATTCCAGGACAATTTTCATTTATATTACTGGCACTCATGCATGAACCCAAACGAGTGCAGTTTGAGCCCTGGATTGAAAGAGGACTGACAGTTTGAACAGTTCTAAAAAGCAAAAAGAAAATGCTTGCACATTGCAAAGCAGAACTGTATTATAAAACTGTCATATTTTCATTACTGTCCTTCCTCTGACTGACCCATCACTTATTTTTTTCACACTGAGAGTAAAGTGGAAGCAATTAGATTTTAACGTCACCTCTTTGCCAATAAATTCTCCATGGTTCCACTCATTGCCTTGTCTGCTTACTCCAAATATAGTTACCTTTCCAATGCCTGCTAGTCAAAACTCACTTAGAGGAGAATCAAACTGAGCAACCTGCCTTGTGAATAAAAACAAGCACATCTTGGCATGTATTCCATCATCTAAGAAAGGCCTTTCTCTCTCTCTCTCTCTCTCTCTTTTTCTTTGGAGCTCTTCTCTGCGGTATTTCAGGAGGATGCCCCCAAATCAAAAGTACTTCAAAACTGGCCTCTTATGCAATATTTCCCTGAATTATTTCCCTACAAGTCTTGCTTACTCAAAACACATACAACCTTAATGTGATTGAAAAGTTTCCTGCACTAGTCAGGTTTAGTTTGAAAAAAGCTCAGTAAATATGATAGCAGAAAACAAAACAATGTGAGAAATCAATACAGATTGTGGAGAAACCAAAAGCTCTGGGTCGAAATCTAATTGCAGCTAAACTTATATATAGGCTTGTTTTTATTGTCGTAAGATACCTACGTTCAGAAACTAAAAATGAATACAGGCAAGGATTGAAAGAGAGTTAAATTTATTTATTTTATCAATTAAATCTGCAGAAGTGAGCTGACTCTTTAGGATATTAATTCTTTAAGTGTAGGGTGACAATAAAGGTTTGTTCTTCAAGCTTAGACTTATACGCCACTTCCCAGTAATTTACAACCCTCTCTAAACGGTTTACAGATTTAGTCTATTGCCCCGAACAATCTGGGTTCTCATTTTACCGACCTTGGAAGGATGGAAGGCTGAGTCAACCTTGAGCCAGTCAGAATCGAACCCCTGGAGTGAGAAGGAGTTAGCTTGCAGAACTGCATTCTAACCACTGTGCCACCACAGTTCTGTGGAAGGAATTTACATCACTCCTTCACATGTTGCCATTGATGGGATCTTCCAACCTATTATTCATATATAAACACATCCTTCATTATTTTATAATCATTTTAGGACTTATATTTGATTTTTTTTCTTTTGAGAATCTTAGAGCCTACTGTATCTTGACTCCAGAAACTTCATGGACAATTTACTGATAGCAAATCCCATACTATACACATGTATCATTCCTTGTACTGATCTCTCAATACCCTCAGTCTCTGCATTTATTTTTATAGGTGGCCCCAGTTCAAAAGGAGAAAATTTCCTTTACCTTATTTTTCAGTTTATATTTGATTTTTTTATTTCTATCATATTTTGTTTTATCTGCCTTTGCTCTAAGCTAAGAAATCCCAGAGCTGTACTTTTTTCTCAAAAGGTAGCTACTACAACCATGTAAACATCTTAATTGCTTTCCTCCTTTTTTGGCACCTTTTCCAGCTCCGCAATATCTTTTTCCAGTATAGTAATCACATCTGTACACAACACTCAAAATGTCTTACTATAGATTTATAAGATGGCATTACTGTACCACTGTTTTTTGTATGTTTGTTTGTTTTCAATTTCCTCTGCTGATCAGAGTAAATATGTAGACTTGGAAGAGAAGGAAAGGTAGGGAGAAGATATCAAACCCTATTCACTCTAAAGCAGGGCTGTCAAACTCTGCCCCATGGGCCAGATGAAACACAAGCTGGCCACGCCCATGCCTGGTTTAGCAAAGGTGGGGGGGAAATCCCAATACTTCATTTGATGCCACTGTGGCAATGTGGGTTTGACACCTGTTAAGTTTGGGAAAAGAGAGGCTGAACCAGAGCATGAGTGCAACAATACTTTATTATAACAATAAAGGGCTGACCGTGCTTGCCACGCCTGGAACTGGCTCGCAGCGATCAGCAACTGGTTGGACCCCGCAGCCTGCTTTTATAGCTGGCTGCTGGGGAGAACCAACCAATGGGTAAAGGGGAGAAACGCCCCCGCAAAGTGAATGGACCTGAGTGAGAACTCCTAGAGTCCTCAGGACATAACAACACCCCTGCTCTAAAGCAACAAAGTTGATTTCACATTGAGGATCAGTTGGATAATGGACATATATCCATAAAGGAGCAGAACAGAGCCTCTTGGTTTTTGGAGTTCTTCATTATCCATGTCAACATTTTCAATGGGTTCATATATGTCCATAGGTCAATTCATTGTCCCAGCTTCTGTGTCAAAATGTATCTCTGTGCTGATCAAAAACAGCTTCTTGTGAAATTATTCGAGTACTTGACTGTATTTAAACTTTAATAATAATTTATTAAATTATTAATACACATACACACATTCTCTCTCTCTCCCTCCCTCCCTCTTATTATATTATATGTCTATGGAGATTCTCAATCATCCAGATCATGGTTGTCCCAAAGGGGTTTTCCCAAAACATTTCACTTCTCATCCAAGAAGCTTTTGGATGAGAAGTGAAATGTTTTCAGGGGGAAAAAGAACAAGAAAGTCCAGTTGCTTTTGGGAAAAACACCTTTGGATCTCTCCTGTTATCTAAATAATAATGTATTGGGCCGAGAACCCCAAGTATAAGTTGATAGGATGAATTTAACTATTCAGCATGTACAAAAACTAGAGTTAGCCAAGCTGATTAGGGAATTCTGGGAATTGAAGTCCACACATCATAAAGTTGCCATGATTGAGAAACATTGCTCTGGATAGCACCCTTCTAACTGAACAACTGTCCCAACCTTAACCTGATCCATATTGCAGATCCACTATCCAACTCCATTATCACTCTTTCAACCAAGGTACAAACTAGAATGTACATCATAGATCATAGAATCATAGGACTGGAAGGTACCTCAGAGGTTTTCTATCCAAGCCTCTGATCAAGGCAGGAGTGTTACACCATCCCAGTCAAATGGTTGTCCAGTTTATTTTTGAAAATTGCCAGTGATGGAGCACCCACAATCTCAGGAAGCAAGCAATTTCATTAATTAATTGCTTTTACTATCAGAAAATTTGTCCTTACTTCTAGGTTGTATCTCTCTTGGACAAGTTCAATCCATTATTTCTTGCCCTCTGATCCCCAGATAATATGTCAATCCCTTCTTTCTTTGTGATGGCCTCATGGACTGGATTCAGCATTTTATGCTACTGTCTCAGCTTGTGATCTACAAAAAAAGGATGGGAAAATAGCTTTCCAGGTGGTGATAACTGTAGTTCCCAGCATCCTTCACTGCTGGATCTTCTGGTTGGAGTTGCTGAGAATAGTAGTTTGTGTGGAGTATTGCCTATACCTTCTGTAAACAGGAGCTTTAAATAATTAGATCCCCATTGTATACATTATTACTTTCCACAGAAACATGGAATAAAGTTGATTTAATAAAAGGTTTTTGATCTGAAAATATAATTTAACTGTATTAACAGCAGGAGGGAAAGGTCTTTAATGTAAGGGAATGCTATAATGTGGGGTTTTTTTGGAAGAGACACATCAAAATAAAATAACAACCTTCAAACAAAATAAAATATACCAAACTTATTATAAGGCCATGTTACTGTAAATTACATAGAAAACATTATAAAAACAATGAATACTCCAAATAACCATATAAAACACACATTTCTTGATTAATGTTCTACATGCGCTTGCCTTAACTTCTTTTTTTTTCATTTACTTTACACTTCTACCTCTTCTAAAAGTAATGCCAAAAGAAGATCAACAGGCTGCCAGCAGAAACTAACAGCATTTACATATCTATAAAATCAATGTACCATTTGAATGGTGGAGATCAGCAAAGCTAACATATAGAGCAAGAAAACTGTGGAATCCTGTCTGAATTTTTTTAGAGGTGTCTCCTGCAGATGGCAGAAACCTTTAACAATCACAAAGTTGTGTGTGTGTGTTGCTCTGAGCAATTCATCCCACTCACGCTTACAGTTCCAAACTGCCAAGCCTCAGTGGATGACCTTATTCAAGATATGACATTCACTCTCTTACAGAGAGAGAGAGATACACACAGAGCATATGAATAAACAGCAAGATTTTCAGCAAAAGTTTGTCTCTAATTTCATATTGCCTTTTAAATAAACCAAATACTCTTTTCTACATTTTAAATGGACAAGTTGTTTTGTGAACAATCTGTAAAGACATTGCATCAGTTTTGAAATTGTTTCATCCAGTTGGAATTTGCTGGTTATGTTTATGAGATTCATAGTGAGTGACAAGCTGCTGTCTTTCCCCCTGCTGCTGTTCTAGGTGTCTATGGACCTTTCTCACAATAAGGCAAAGCAAGTGGGTAAGATGAAATGAAGTGGGGCAAATGAAGTTCGCTGAAAACAAGCTTCTCCTTCTGGAAATAACACTTGCTGCCTGTATTGAGGAAAAGGAAAGTGGTACACTGGTACCCTCTCTGGGCTTTTTAACAGGCTGATAACCAGGTTCATAAAACAGAAGAATAGTAATCCACAGCAGAGTAAAAAAAAGTAGGCCAAGGTTTGTACATAAGGCTCAGACAGGAGAGGGAACATTCAAAGTCCAAAAGCAGAGTCAAGGTTTCAACAGAAAAGAATAAAGAATGTAAGCTGACATTGAAGGGGTAGCCCTGGTCAAGTTTGCCCTTCATACTGAATTTGCTTAGAAGTGAATTAAACAAGCCAGAATGACTGAATTCACACAACATATTAAGGCAACATGAAACAAACTATATTTGGCTGTGTCCACACAACACACTAAACCACAATGTGAATCACATTTCAGAATGGTGCATTATTTAGATTTGGCTCATGTTATTAATTTACAAATTGGTATATTATCAAACTGCATAAGAAAATATTGTTCAATTAAGCATGAATAAAAACATCAAGCAAATGCAATTAGTTATTTCCAATGAATAACTTGTTACTGTATTTCTAAGCTTTCAGAATTGCACTTTGCAGACTAGTAAGAAACCAGCGCAAAGTCAAAACTTCCCAGTTTAAGTAGATTTTACACACAAAAAGGTCTTCACCATAAGGACTATCAGGTTTTTATTGAAATGAACATTTCTAAATCAAGAAAACTCACGGTGGTATACTACCTAGGTCTCCTGTTGGTCAGGAGGAATGGTCAATGTCTTCAGTCAGTTGGGAGTAGAGCCATCCCATGTCTTCTTAAGGGAAGCTTCAAAGTTCTCACATTACTCTTATTCAAGCACTTGATTTAACATTTGCAAATTTAAATTGCACTGATGATAAAAGTTACAGATGAGGGATTTTCTGCACTTTTGAGACCTTTTCCAACTATTTTAAAAGAATAAAATTAAGAAATAGCCAACTGTCTCATAACACCAGAATGTGTAATTTTAGTATCTTAAAAGGCAGGTAAGAACATAAAGATGATAAGTGTCTGTTTTATTGAAGGTATTAGTATAAAAAAATGTAGTGAATACAGAGAGGAATCATTTTTAAAATGAAACAATCCATCCTGCCTGAGGGATAAACTGAGGATAGTTCTGGAAGTACAATGTGGCAGTATGATATATGGTGCCTTCTTCTAAAAAACAAACAAACTTATCTACTTCCCTGCTCTCATAAACTGATTTTTGTTATGTATAGTATGTGGTAAGTGATATTTGTTCTCTATTATTACTAGAACATTAAATATTGGAATATTCTGAACATTGTAGTTTAACTAGACAATTTTATTTTTCTGCTGTAGAACTAGAGTATGCAATGATTATTTATGAGACTTTTATGCCACCTCAGTCAAGACCAAGTCTAAGCAGTGTATGGTCAACAGTATGCAAAAAATAAGTCAGTACAGTAATGTTAATCAACATTAATATCCAACCATTTTGCCACCTTTCAGTTAAGCACAATTATATTTTCCCACAATCTTCCAGAATAACGCTATTTTTACAAAAGCATAAGGAAGAAGCCATTCTCTCCTCTGTAATCAAGCTATTCTATAGAAGAGGATTACCCGCAGAGAATGCATACATCTACATCCACCACATCAAATATCTTAGTTAGTATGTAGCTCTCTGTGTACATACTTGGATGATGGGATTCCAACTAGGATAGGTAATCTCAAAAATATCCAGTATCTTGAACTGAACTTCACTCAGAAACAAACAAACAAACACAACACAACACATTAGCAGTTACAGGTCTGTTATCACAAAAGTAGCCAGATTCTAGCCCATTTGAAATTCTGGGTTGATTAACAGCTGAATTCAGTTCCTTATATCCTTCCGGGCAATCTAATCTAGTCAAAAAAGACAACTGGAAACCTCTCAAGTTATAGAATTGATATCGTAAAGGATACTGCAGGGCATATTTATTTAAAAGCTTCAAAAACCTCCTTGGTAACTCTATAAGACGACATCAAATGCTCAAAGTCTCCCAACTCAGCGCAAAACTGAATGAAATAAACATTACAAAACATACATGTGACTGACTTCTGTTTTCCACCCCATATTAACAAATATAGCATTTCTTTTTACAATTGTTCCTAATGTTTTCCCTTTGTAAGTGATCTGCCAGGTGACAATATTTATTTCAGACTTACAAGCTCATAGCTATGGGTCCAATCTCTAATTAGTTTGTCTATTAAAATTAGTTTGTCTATTAAACAGAATTTGTTTATTAAAATCTAGGCAAAGGTAGCCCAGACCAATGGTTTCATAATAGAGACAGTCCTCATTTAACAATTGCCTCAATTAACAACAGTTTACAGTTATAAGAATGATGAAAAAGTAAACTCTGTGACAAATCTTCAAATTTACAACCTTTGCAGATCAGTAAAGCAAAGGAAAATTCAAGTAAGATGGTAAGCACAGTTCATTTAGAGATTGCTTTGCTTAATGACTGATTGGTCCCAATTATGATCACCAAACAAAAACCACTTGTAAAGATTTCACTGCTGCTTCTTTCTAAAGGGGCAATAGAGAAAAAATATTAATCCATATGCCATTTCCAACCCGGATAGATTATATCAGCAAGGACAAAGGGAATCTTTGGTAGATTGCATCTTTCCAAGATTTCTTAGACTCAGAATTGAAAAATATCAACTGTATTACATGATTAATTCTAAAGTTATTGTAGCCTATAATCCATTATC